AAAACACCAAGAAAAGGAAGACCATGGAGGCTGTGAACAACCTCTTTTAAAGAAACCTGACGAACAAGAGATGGGAAGAGGGAAGTCAGCGATAATTTCGCATACTGTCTGGACAGACTTGGAAATTCAGCAAAGACATTAAAAAGAAGACGTATGGACTCAGGACAACAGTTCAATAACAAGAAACAATCAACAACAAGAAGCTAATGCGGGACAAAGATAAGTAAAGAAAAGGCGAATGCAGTGAGAAGAGTCAAACCTGAAATTGGCCAACAATTTAATCCCAGGGGGTCTACATGTGAGACGTGGAATATAGAACTGAAAGCTGATTACTGTGCCTGGTGATATGCTTAACCACAGGAGATACAAGCCAACACACAATAACATCATCATCATAGTACCATAAGGCTAGATTTGAGTATCAAAAGCTGCTCTTTTTAAAGGGAAAAAGGGTGGTGCATTTTCACACCTGCGGTTGTGAATTAAACCAGGCACAGAGCTCTAAAGAACGAGACACAATGTGAGTGGGGATGCGAAATATGACAATTGGGTAATGGATTTGAAGCCTAGGGAGAACAAAACTCCCAGACACTGGCATGGGCCTCATTTGCTCTAAACCCTGAAATATGGCGTAATCGGAGATGAGAATTGGAGGTTTTTAGACAGCTAGCCAGTGATTCTAATGCATAGCAGCGACCACTTGACAAGCGAGGTAGGAGGAGGCTGAATGGAGGTCAAGAGCCCGGCAAACGGCACTTGGTACCGGCGTCGGAGATGATTACGCTTCCGTAAACCAACTTGTGAGGGCGCCTCTCACAGACGATGCAGGAGAAATATTAGAAAATGTACCGAATCAATGGTCCGTAGCTGGAAATCACGAATGCTATGACATAGGACACAGGACCAGGTGCGTTCATCGAAGTCTCACTGACGCTGCGACCAAGTTGTGAAAACAAGATCGAATTAACAACCATACTAAGCTGGATTATAAGAGAAAAGTAATGAACTCGCTGATTGGATGGCAACAGGGATTGT